TCACCTGATGATGGGCAGTTTCTGCTTTCATTACTCCATCAGTGATGAGAGCTGGTGTAATTTTGCTCATGGAAGTAAGGCATTCAATTATGTGAACTAATGGGGCTCGGTGAGTTGTGCGTTCACTTTCCTCTGGCTTTCCTACAGGACCTTGAGTTGTTGAACGTCGCCCTCTGGTGGTCTTCTCAGCGAGCAGTCCTGCCTTCGGAAGGGGATCATTTCTTTCATTTGGAAGTGGAGAAACTGCTATTAAGAGACCGTATTAAGGGCATTTAATCATGCTGGATATTTTGCTGGTGTCTGTTGTTCCTTGTTTTTTACAAATCTTGGCTTGTTTTTAATTTATTCACATCCAAATCTACATTCATTCAGGTTAAACAACAGCCAACCTATCATCAACTGCATCCGTTTAGGCCTTTAGGGCAACAAACATACCTCAATATAACAAAATCACATGTCATCTCTCTTTTTCTGTGGTTAAGACTGCTATAAGGCTTGTGTAATGCAGCGACAATGGACTCTAAATTAATTTTGTGGATAATGTGTCAATATTAAATGTCAACTTTGACCTGGCCTTGTGCGGATCGTGTCTGGCAGAGACGTCTCTCCGACAGCGCTATCGATTTTCTGCTATCCGCTCGGTACGGGCCCCTCTCTCAAAGTCCATTATTTTAGATTTTCCTATGAAATACATATCTTTCCTCACTGACATCTGACAAACAGCATATGGAAGTCATTTTATCTACCAATAATGTGTTTGTCAAAAAGTATGAGGCATTAATGGGATTCCGGGCCAAGGATAGGTTGTCACTGATATATGTGTGTTTGTGTCTATGTATCAGTCATTAAGATGTTCAGTACACACACACACACACACACAGGAGGGGTAATAAGTGTGTGATTGAGAGCCAGTGGACTGCTGTCATCTTCAGGACAGGCTGTAGACTTCTCGAGGATATTGCACCTCTGTTTTGCCTTATGCTCAAGTATTTACGAAGTGTGTGTTTTCACAATGTATACATGCCTGAAAAGTAAATACACCAGTTACTAGTTTGGGCTCATTTTCCTGCAAGTTTGTTTTTTCAGAAGTTATAAGTCTATAAGTATGTTACTCGAATGAGAAGCTTGATATTCATTCGAATCAGTATTTTACTTTTCTCTGTAGACATTTTCCAACAGTTTGCCAAGAAAGAATGACAGTGCTACTGTGTTTAAGTTATGTTCATAAGCCGTATGATAAGACAAACACTAGAAGCTGTGTGTGTGTGAGCGAACGAACGAGTGTTTCTGCTAACAGAGAGAAAACCAGAGCAAATATTCATTTATTCATTAAACGAGCAGAGCGAGAAGATGTGTTGTGACAGTCGCTCCCTGGCAGTTAATGGATTAAATTAATTCCTCTCATTAGCACAGGGATCTCTCTCTCTCTCTCTCTCTCTCTCTCTCTGTGTGTGTGTGTGTGTGTGTGTGTTTGCGCGCCAGAGCGTTCTTTCTGCCTAATAGTGTTTGTTTATGAGCATTTTTATGCATATGAGTGGAGAGAGATTAAATTGTTGGTGAATTTGAGTATCAGTCATACATTGTGTTTTATGATTTAGAATGTCTTAATTTAACAAAATCACACAAACAACCAACAAGAGCACTTCTGATGTTGTGACTATCAGCAATCTCAGTTTATATTCAGTCTGACAGCACGATTTCGAGTTTTATATTGCTTTAATACAACAGGTCAAGAAACAAGAAATTAATATGGATAGCTTAAGTTTTAGACACCATTTAGCTAGATACTTTTGTCTATTCATGGAAATTATTCCAAACAAAGTCCCGACAGGTCTTTAGTTCGTATCAGTACTCCCAACCACCAGAGGGCGTCAACGGCTGACAGCCAATAGCTTGACCAGCAATGAGTGTGTGCTGTGTGTCTGTCCCACATAACATACATATATTTCTGTAATGATGTAATTATGCGGGGAATATTAATCATTTGCATATGTATCTCTTAATATATATATTACTGGTAGTAGGACTTAATTTGAATACAATACATCAAATACCAACCAGAATAAGAGTCTGTGATACTATAATTCATTAAGAGTCGAGTCTGTTTACTATGCTTTATTTTGCTCGGAAAGACAGCATACAGTACATGCTTGGAAAATCAAGCTCTGCGTCTTCTAGACCAAATGGCTGGTTTCCTTTTTTTTTTAAGAATGACTTTTTATTTTCTGAGGACTTCTCATTGACCAGCATCCACTTCAGACTCTTGGAGAACTTAAGAGAGAAGAATAACTAAAGAGCTACAGACTGGACAGTTCACATAGAAAGAATATGTTATGTTCAGCGTATTGTTGGATTCATTAGGCTAAGTTTGCAAACCTATTTTAGTTCATTTTAAAGTTAAAAACCGTTGAACTGACGCAGTGGTTATTTAACCTCTTAACCTGCGGGCCCATTTGCCATTGCATGTTTAAAACAATAATATCTTAATAAAAATCTAAAGTAATATTGCCAAACTATATATCATTTGAAAGCTTAAAATCTCTAGTTTTCATATTTGGTGGCTGTTATCTAAAATAAATTACAGAGGAGCAGTAATTTATCAATTTGCAACAAGAATATTTCATATTCATTAGGAGTATTTAGGCCTTTATTTTGAAATAACAATAAACACGAAAAATCATGAAAGATTGGTAGAAACCTCAGTTTGTTTTCATGCCATGAGTTCAAAAGATAACACCAATTCCATTTTATGAGAAAAAAAGGTCTGAAAATGTTTTAAATATAAAGAAAAATGTATGGATTCTCGATTTCTGATTGGCTGCGAGCTATAACGCTATAACGTAGTCTTTTTATGCATTTATTAGAGGTTGAATTCAAATCAAATACTGCCAAACCACCCATACTACTTCTGAATAGGATGTCTACTTCATAAATTGTATGAAAATTATGGAAATACATGGTTCAGATCACTCAAAACATATATGAAAATGGAGGCGCCCTTATATGGGCAGTAATGGAGTCTAGTGAAAAAGTTGGGTACTGCGCCCAAATAAAATCTTACTGAAAGCTCATTTTTTTTAGATATCAACCTAAAATTTGGAATACAACTTGTTCAGTAATATTAATAATTATATTTTTACATTACACAATTTCATAAACTCAAACTTATATAACTTTTTTTCTGTTTCATTTTTTATCATTTCTAGACTTCTACAATAATCTGGAAAATGTCTTCTTTAAAACAAGACCAGCCATAGGTCTATATTCCAAAGCATGCCTGAATTACAACCATTTAAGTTTGGATAGTGATTTTTATGTCTATGCAAAAAAAAGGGAGGTGACAGTTAACAGGTTAATTACTTTGTGATGTTAATGATTTTTATGAAAACAATGAACCACTATACAAGGTGAATAAGGTTCTGTGTGCATAGCTTACAAAGCATAAATTATTGTATTAATGTAAAATTAATCTATTAATGAATTCAGAATAAAAACAGGATCCTACACATGTTGCAATGCGTCGTCCGTCAGCTGTTCTGATGTCGCTTCAATGCTGTAATGAATATGAACATCACCCGCTTTCAATTTCAATAAGCAGGAGATATTCTTTACTTTAAGCAAATAACCTGACTGACTGTACAGGGAGTCTTCGGACCTGCAAGCTGCGTTTGGTCGTGTGAAATCAGTGAAATCAAAGAAATCAAGTTATTTAGTATAGAGTAGACCAACGTATACTATCTTCTGAGAGCAACATTTCTGACTCTTTCAGGCTACATCCAGAGTCATGTTTTCTAACTCTTCTATTTTCATGTAATCTGTGATCAGTTCGGTTTTTACATCCGTCTTGGTTTTACACTGAAATTAATCAAATTTAACAAATTAATTTCACTATAATATCAACAGCTCATTGTACTTAAAGCTGCCGTCGGCATATTCAGTGAAATCGACACTATAATCCGACAGAACAACATAAATAAAGTGGTTTTCGAAAAAAACCCGAGCTTCTAACTCCACCTGGAGCGTGTTATTTGTTTTGCAAAAATCCACAGCTCCCGGTTCATCGGGTCCAATCAGCGCAGGGGGGTGTGAGATCTGACTGTCAATCACAGATCGGGCACATGCTACAATCACATGCACACGCCGGAAGTTCGCGCAGTGACGAAGAGTGATGGCGGATGTATCTCGCTTTCAAAACACTAACAAATCAAGTAAGCTCATTTAGAGTATAAATGACGTTAGCTATCGGTAGATTAGCCAGGACAGCATACCTCCAAATACTCCATGGTGTTGATGAGACGGGCGCGTTCACAGATAACCTGGTGCACACGCACTGACGAGCACGAACTATCCGCTGATAGTGGGGGAGGGGCATGAGAGTTGTAAACATTCAATCTGCCAGACTTGCCGACTGCAGCTTTAATAGGAAAAAGTTGAACAAAATCTGATTGTATTAAACTGAATGAGTTGCAGCAGATTTCTAGTTCCCAGCATGCTTTGTGTCACACTGTATAAGGAGAATAAAGGTTGAAATTAAGTGTTATTTTGTGGCTTTTGCAAAATAATACTAAAAATTAGGAAATAATACTAATGTTTAATGTTCTGTTATAATTTGGGGATTTGTGGCAACTTAACACCACATATGCTTTGTCAAACCAACACCAGTGTTGTCGTGTTGTGTTTTTGCAAGCTTTCCTTTCGGCTTCTTTCTCTCACGATCAGCTTTCCCCCCAAATATTAGCTTTTCTCCTCCATTTTGTGTGTTCTTGCTTGTTTAGACATAGTGTGCTGTTCTTTTGCTGGAGTCTGGTGGTACTAACATCCTGAACCTGGGCAATGGGATCAGGACACAACCATTGTTTTTATGTGTCATGAACAAACATGGCTCAACAGTATCGAATCCATCAGCATGATGTTTTTCCGTTTCTGTGGTTTGGGAGCAGTTGACCTGCCCAGCTGACCTCTCGCCTGTCCACTCACCGCTCTGTTTTCTGTTCTTCCAGAGGAATTATCTCTCGCGGAGCAGGTGAGGAGGATAAAGGATATCGAGGCCATTGAGGAGGACTCCTTTGTTCCTCAGGCTTTCAAATCATCTCGGGACGCCACCAAGGTACATCTCTCGCTCTCTCCCTCCCTATTCTTTTTGCCTTCCGTCTCATATCTATATATTCTTTTATTTGATTTCCTTTCGCCGAGTTATGTAGCGTTTGTCTGCAGATGAAATGATTCCCATTAAATTCCGTTTGCTCTGTCCACTTGAGCTCGGGCTCCTGAAAGCATGTGCCCGTTGGTGGGCCGCACCGGGCCTCGTTCACTCTCTCCACAGACGGCTTTACTGAATCTGGTCCCGCCAGCGTTCACATTCACCGCTCAAATTAGATTACTAACAAATGCTCACAGATCTCTGTGGTCTGAGACAAAAGGTGACAGTTGAAATGAGCCTGTATGATAGATTACAGCCCAGAAGGGCCGGGCGGCTCTCCCGAGCTGATCTCAGATCTGTCTGTGCAGACTTCAGTGCTCCACTGAGATGAGCTGAACTGATGCGAGACCAGCACTTAACATTACTTTACCTGCATGAGTTTCTTTTCTTTCTGAATGATGTACAAACAGCTCTGTAGATGGAGCAATAAAAGATCCATCTAAATAAAATGGAGGACATTCTTTGAACAAACACAGCCACACACATTTGATTCTTTCAATAATTTCCATTAGATGTAATTGGATGCTCTGAGCTCTCAGCTATACTTTGCAGCCAACTCTCACTTAACAGAGCATGGCCTGGACGTTAGAGACAGGAATCGGGTGGGATCGTGCTGGATACAGAAAGGACTGGGGACAGTAAATGCTTTCTGCAAGAGTTATGATTATACTGATAGAATCCATGAACAAGCTCAATCCCCTTGGACTAACCTGCAGATAAGTGTTTGCTCAACTTTACTCTGCTTCAAGAATGACTCATTATGGGGTTCAAACCTTCAACCTTTCAGCTGCACCTACTAATCCCAGTTTAAATGGGTCAATCAAATTTAACTTGATCTCTTGAGATAAAATAGCTCATTGAACTCACTTCCTTCTCAGTCCAAAATGAGCATTATTAAAATCTGAAAAAGATGCTGCTTACTGATGTCAGACGGATGAATGTATTTGAATTCTTTAACTTGACCACCCACATTTAAACACCAGCAATGGCTAATGGGTGAACAAAACCTTGTTGCTGCTGAATCATCATGCAGTCTTTTCAAATCGTTATTGAACGGGATGCCAAAAACAGCATGTTTTAATCAATCTGATAGTTCATTTTCTCACCCTCATGTCATTCCGAACCTGTGTGACTTACTTTCTTCTGTGGAACATACAAGAAGATATTTTGAGAAACTAAGACTTGTTTGCTTTACCAACAAATCTGAATTGTAATTTTTCATTTTTAGCTCCTTAACCCTAACAATGCATCCCAAGCAAGCTGCTAATGGTGTTCAGACTTACAGACAGGTGTGTTTCACTGGGACTGGACTGCAGTTGATGAGCCCTGCTTTAGCGGGTCTAAGTTATGACTAGTTTTGGCACCGAAAAACAGTGTACCTCAAAAGATCGAGATATGATGGCTTTTCTTTTTAATTAAAGGTAGGGTAGGCAATTGCGGAGAGGCTAGCAATAGCAAGCTAGCTGTGAAAGCATGAGATCCCACCCTTCCTTCAGAGCGTCTCCAAAGCCACGCCTCCTTCAAAACTCACAAATTACCTCATGTCTCAAAGCACATAACATTACACAGACTGATCTCATGAAATGGCGTATGTATGACACGCCAATTCGTATTTCCATTTTTGGCGTGCTATCAACACGCATAATCGCTTTTCAGCGTGTTTATCAACGCCTTTGACTTAACGTTATATTACTGTATTATGCATATATAAATATATGACCTACCCCAACCCCGTCCCTAAACCTACCCGTCACTGGGGTTAATACCATTTATGAGTCTTCTCCTACCATCCTAGGAAAAGAAATATCGCTCCACAGATGTAGATATAGCTTTTGCTTCGTTTCGCTCGGACATTTAACGGCGTAGACATACACGCGGAATCACTCGGACATTTAATGGCGTAGACATACACGCAAAAGATTTCGGCGTGGACATACACGCGGATAGCTCAAAATGCGTATAGATAACACACCACTTGAATTGAAAGTGGCGTGTATGTTTACGCAAAGTCATGATGTCATGTTGCATTACAATAATAATGAACGTAAACAACTTAAAGAGCTCTGATCTGTACCACCTGACTGCTGCAGATTAATATCAGCGTTGATAGTGTTGACATAGTAGCACATAAATCTCCAGGTACAGCGTCACGGGTCGCAGTCTCGTGATTACTGATAGGACATGGTGTGAACGCAGCATAAGCTCATTGTTTTAGTTCAGAGGAACTGTAAAAGGCTGCTGCTGTTGCTTTGTGGCTCTCAGTGACTCATGAATCACGCTGACAGACATGTTTAGGTCCTGAGACTTCACAGAAGATATATGTACAATATTTAGACCTTTTATTATTGAGTTTCAACCAGGATAACAAAAAGTGTTTATAAAAAAATGCCTACCCTACCCTTAAACAACTTGCAAACTAGGTGATTTGAATGATGGAAACATGCTCAGGGTTGTTGTAAAAGACAGAACTGTTTATTCACAGGTGACTGAAGCTTCAGAGATCAAGACAGAGGCCGAGACTATGAAGGAGGAAGTCGCCGTTCTGCCCATCTCCATCACATACAACGACACCAACAGCCTGGCTCACCCCAACGTAAGAGTGTGTTTCTTGTGTGGCCCTACTTGTCCATATTATAAATAGTGCCTTTTTTTTTGTTTTTATTGGAAAGAACTTTTTTTTTTTTACATCAAATAAGACATTTGTTTCGTAGGCCTTACAACCAAAGTTACAATAAGCCCCCCAAAAGGCCTCCAATCAATAATTCTCTTCTCCCAAGACTTATTCCCCTCCACCCTTGTAGAAATTGCCTATTTCAGAAGCTCCACTTCTTGACAACCCACACAGGGCCCTTCTTATGCACCCTCAGTAATATTTGCAGACAGAATTTCCTATGAAAGTGCGCTCATCTCTCTCACTCGGCAAACTGGGTTATGTGTGACGGATGCAGATGAGCTCGACAGGCTGATCTATTGCAGCAATATGCCCAAGGCGAGAGAGCCCTGATCACCAGTAATGATTCAATCATTTAGCCACCACCACTTACTGTATCTACTGTAATTTCAAACTCGTTATCTGCGCTTCGCTAGGTGCGTTAAGAGTCAGAGGAGGCTCGTTGTCGTGTCGCAGAATCGCCTACGAAGAGATAACCAGGCGACATACACCCTCAGTCTATTAGCGCTGCTCAGCACGTGTTTCCCAGACACACAGAGACCCCGCAATGAGTGCTACGGGCGGACCCTAACCCGATGTAAATCACACGCTTATAATGCGCACGCAGCCGGATGGAAGTGATCAGTCTTTCCCAAGCAGAGATTTGATTTCATGCCTCTCGTGTTTTTTGGATGAAGGAAATGAGTGATGAGTGTTGGAGAAGAATCCGGAACTTCCAAACTTAAGGAACTCATAAGCACAACTAATGCGGGAATCACTCAAATTCTCCCTTTACGCTGACATCCGAATCAACCGCGTGTATTACCCTGTCTGATGTGTTTATGATGCAATACCATTTACACTTTCTCCAAATCTAATCGCAGCTGTGATTGTCCTATATTAAGCCAACCGAGACAATTAGAGCGCAGACTTGGAATCCATTAGAAACCAATAGGAAGATTTGTTTCAAAAGGATTACTTGCATTTTAGATGTATAACATCAGTAGACCTTGGCCAAATCCAGACGTTTTCTCACTTCTGAGGGGAGCGAACATGCAGACGGTTGCAGACAGTCACAGATGGCCCGATCTCAGTGAGAGTCTCCTGCACGGATGCATGATAATACACAACTTAGTATGCATTTCTAATCCAATATACAATTATTTTCAGATCTTCAGCATACTTCAATCATCGCTTCAATTACATGTATCCTCCCAACTGATCATAACAACTTTGACAGGCATGTATATGTTCTGTCGTTCTGCCTCGTGAGGTCACCAGTCTGGAGGCGATCCCTGTGTTTTACTCCTGTGTTTCACTCAAAACTATGCATTTCAGAATCAGAATCATCCATTGCACAGCTGTGAAAAAACTAGAAAATATTAAAAATGAGGGAAAAGTCTGAGATAAAAGGCTGTATTGTCTCACCTGTGGTGGATGGTTCAGATGTGTCTGTTTCTGGAGTGATGCTCTCTGATGGACAGTAGTTCATTGCACTTCAATAGTCTAAATGAGTTGAGCTGAACTGGCTCTCACTCTCTTGCAGTTGTTCATGGATAAAGAGGAGGCCGAGAGGTTGTGGTTGAACAGACTGGTTTCTCTGCGTCAGGAGAGGCTCATGGGAAGTCCGGTGTCCTGATGACATCCAAACCAATGCGGATGTGAAGATAGTTTCAGCCTCTGGAACTCCTACATCTCTCAGAAAGGAGCAAGTGCGCCTCCTGCTGGTTTCCACGGGACATATCTTCCAAAAGTGAATTTCAGCATGTGCTTTTTCTGAATCTGTGCTGGTTTGTTAGTTTTCCTTTATAATAACTGATAATGATAGTAGATTTAGGGGTTATTTACACATACTTTGTCCTCTACACATGCTCTTTTTTTTCTCTCCAGTTTTAAGCAGCCATCCTTCTCATCAACATAAATGTATGACAATTGTATGTAGCGTGTGCTAGTTTTTTTGTTTTATCCTTTTAAATAAATGATCTTGTTGTAATTCTTGGACAGAACTTGTGTTGTGGTCGTTAAACTGTTTAAAATGTGACCAGTTCAAAGTGAAGCCCGGACTCTTTTTAGTACAGAATGGCTACATGAAAGCCTGTTGAGGGTTCGCTGTACAGTGTCCTGAGTGTGTGCAGTTTTCACAGTTATGGAGAGTAGGCACTGTTTTCTTTATTCATGATCAGCCTTAGTAACGGACTTGAGTTTACAGGTTGAGAGAGGTGAAGTGAGATTAGCATTTACTAATGAAATGAATAAAACTTCATACATAGAGACTCAAGAAAAGACAGCTAGGACATGAGCTCATGAGGGGTTTCCATTACAAACAGACTACTTTCTTAATACTGATATTGCCATATGTTATGTGAAAATCTGTAACAATGCATCTCTTGTTCAGTTGTGTTGATGTATACACGCATATTTCTACGGTTTATATGGATGTATCCTCATATCCACACACCCTCTGTCCCTAACGGTGGTTGGTGTACGTGAAGGGCCCTCGGGCGCTGTGTGTCACGGTGCTTTCGGCAGGGATGAGTTTGAGCAGGATCTAGTTGCAGCGGTTAAACTTTAACAGTAACTCAAATGAACAAACACTCAGAAGAGAGAACAACCACTAAAAAAGATACATACTAATAGACATAAGAGCAGACAATGAACTGAACAGAGTGTATATACAGTACACAGAGATAATGAGTGAATAAACAAGGCCAGGTGGACACTTGCTTTGGTACAGTAACTAACAGACACACTAGGTCTACTGAGGAAAAGAAGAATAAACACACACAACTAAATCAACATAGAGCATAAACCTGACAGTGTGCAACAAACCTGAGTATTCAGGAGATCCTTGTTGATGTCCCTTCATTCTGCAAACCCTTCATTTTCATCAGTGCCTCTGTAACTCACCGTCATGTCATTCCGGATAAAACTACAACATATAAACATACATCTCCAAACATACACAGACGTCCTCTTTCTGCTCATTCGAAGTCTAAAGCAACTTTATTTTTTCCTGAACTTGAAGCATTGCTCGCTGAATGCTTAGCTTAGAAAGTTCAGCATCGATGTATTTTATAACGTCCTCGTTTCTTCACACGCCGTCAAATACCGTTTCTTCTGCCCAAATGCTCAGAAGAGCTTTATGTTCGACAGACCAGTACAGGCGATTCTCCATTTCGAGCAGCGATTATTTTGCGCGATATAAAAAAGTGAAATGTGCATCTTGCTTCAGATCATAACGCTCCATAACACTGATAAACTCCGCCTTTTACCTTGCCCACGCCTCTAGCCCGAGCTGGCCCGCTTTGGCCCAAGGTATTCGACGGGCCAGAAATCTTGGCCGTTGGCCCCGAGTAAGCCCCGATCAAGCCCCGGAAGTGACAGTGGAAACGCGACTGGCTCTGGCACGCACTAGCACGGCTCGGCAGTGGAAACGCGGCTAATGCGCCGTTTTTTGTGTGTGTCCCTTTAAACACGGAAAAAGTCAGATTTCGACCCCTTTAAAGCCTTAATTGAATAATTGATTAATCTCTGATAGTTGTAGTAAATATAATTGATCCACTCTGTATTCTTAATGGGAGTCATAGGATGGATTCCAGTCCTAATGCAATTTCATGTCTAGCTCTGCACAGCCTCAGCTGCCTCTTACACACACACCTTTCTAACCCCGACTAAGAGACTGATAAATAATTAAGGTTGGTCAGACGAGGGCCAGCAAATGTCCCCTGGACATTCATTGGGTTTGAGGACATAATTATATACACTCACCTAAAGGATTATTAGGAACACCTGTTCAATTTCTCATTAATGCAATTATCTAATCAACCAATCACATGGCAGTTGCTTCAATGCATTTAGGGGTGTGGTCCTGGTCAAGACAATCTCCTGAACTCCAAACTGAATGTCAGAATGGGAAAGAAAGGTGATTTAAGCAATTTTGAGCGTGGCATGGTTGTTGGTGCCAGACGGGCCGGTCTGAGTATTTCACAATCTGCTCCGTTACTGGGATTTTCACGCACAACCATTTCTAGGGTTTACAAAGAATGGTGTGAAAAGGGAAAAACATCCAGAATGCGGCAGTCCTGTGGGCGAAAATGCCTTGTTGATGCTAGAGGTCAGAGGAGAATGGGCCGATTCAAGCTGATAGAAGAGCAACTTTGACTGAAATAACCACTCGTTACAACCGAGGTGTGCAGCAAAGCATTTGTGAAGCCACAACACGCACAACCTTGAGGCGGATGGGCTACAACAACAGAAGACCCCACCGGGTACCACTCATCTCCACTACAAATATGAAAAAGAGGCTACAATTTGCAAGAGCTCACCAAAATTGGACAGTTGAAGACTGGAAAAATGTTGCCTGGTCTGATGAGTCTCGATTTCTGTTGAGACATTCAGATGGTAGAGTCAGAATTTGGCGTAAACAAAAAGTGGTAACCTTGTTACCACTGTGCAGGCTGGTGGTGGTGGTGTAATGGTGTGGGGGATGTTTTCTTGGCACACTTTAGGCCCCTTAGTGCCAATTGGGCATCGTTTAAATGCCACGGCCTACCTGAGCATTGTTTCTGACCATGTCCATCCCTTTATGGCCACCATGTACCCATCCTCTGATGGCTACTTCCAGCAGGATAATGCACCATGTCACAAAGCTAGAATCATTTCAAATTGGTTTCTTGAACATGACAATGAGTTCACTGTACTAAAATGGCCCCCACAGTCACCAGATCTCAACCCAATAGAGCATCTTTGGGATGTGGTGGAACGGGAGCTTCGTGCCCTGGATGTGCATCCCACAAATCTCCATCAACTGCAAGATGCTATCCTATCAATATGGGCCAACATTTCTAAAGAATGCTTTCAGCACCTTGTTGAATCAATGCCACGTAGAATTAAGGCAGTTCTGAAGGCGAAAGGGGGTCAAACACAGTATTAGTATGGTGTTCCTAATAATCCTTTAGGTGAGTGTATATTTGATTATTATATCTAAAAAATAATAATAATTAGCAATTGGATTTCTAGTTTGTGCTCTGTTGTTCATTTTAACCTGTAATATTAATCCTAGAGAGAGTTACCAATATAGTTTAAAACATGTTTCCCATGAAACGGTAGTGTGACTAACTGGTACTAACCCTCAACATTATCTTAACCCGCCGTACGCTGTGCTCTATGTCTCTGTCATTTAATGTTAATCAAAAAACAAAAGAAACGAGAGAAGCATTCTCTTCACTGAATAACATTGGTGACGTTAATAAGAATCGATGTAAATCTAATTCATACAGTAAATACTATGCAATGTGTTTTTTTTTTTTTTTTTTTTTTTTTACATTTTCTGTATAGTTGGCCTTTTATTAGTAAAAGGCTAAATTTGTTTATTTCATGCATATATTTTTTTCTGTTGTATTTGTCCTATTGTTTGTTTGTTTTTTGTATTACTTAACTTTTCAAGTCACTGTTGTTGGTTGAAATGTCTCTGAAAGAGCAGATTAAGGGGTTGTGGGTCATTTGGGGGGGGGTTTATGAACCCACTGACGGGGACAAAGTTTAGCTTAGGCCCCCAGACGTCTAGGACTGGCCCTGGCCCTGGGCTCCCAGCAACTGTGCTTCCCCACTCCCAGTATCTCGCGGTACTTTCATATCATACATGGATCAGTGTGTGCAGCGCCGCTTCAACTCAAACACACCTATTTGAATCAGTCATGATCAGACGCATTACAATTCTTTAGCTCAGCCTAAAGCAAGTGTTGGCCCACATGTGGTCTGCCGTCAGCACCACAGAATATATCTTGAAATATTACAAACAATATAGCATTTATTCTGATGTTGACTTTATAAAAAACATTACGGTTTTAAAACCAAAAGACCTACTTTTTTGCTTCCTAAAAATATATGAACTATCAATCTAGAAGTCGTGTAGTGGATTGTGTATGAAATATTGTATTAGTTGCTAATGTGTTAATTATTAATGAATGGTTTAGTTATTCTTGATTCATACATTACCTCAAGAATATCTGTCCATTAGTTAAACATGAATACATGTAGCCTATATTGGTGCATCTATATTGTAAAGTGTTACTAAAACAAACCATGACCGCATTTCCATCGCCAGTTTGGATGTGGTGAGCATGTTTCTGAAACGTAAGGGACTATGCTAACTGACATGCTAAAATGTTATAACAATGTTTCTGCAACGTTGAACTAACTCCCCAGTTTAAAATATACATTTTGATTACACAGTTTTCCTTTACACACCCTTAATATTTGTATAGTTTTTAGTGCTTTGAGTTTGAGAGAGGCACATTACAAATAAAATGTATTATTATTAATATGCAAATCTCTTATCAACACATGTCTGTCCAGCGTGGCTGAAGTTTATTTTTAACAACATGCTTGAGTGATTGAACGTAAATGTTTTCATAAGGTCCATCCTGATGCCAGTGCCTGCTGTAATATTACCAGACCTCCTTTCACCCAACCCTGAAATATCTTTCTCTCCGGTCCCGTCCTCTTCACTGGACTTACTGGTTCCGTCTGTTTTCCCTGGTCGTTCCTCCTCCACTGGCTCCGTCCAGTTACCGAGCTCTGGCTCATTCACCAGTGCTTCCCTTTCTTTGCTTCTCTTCGTCCTCCAGCTCAGCGTCTCTCTCTGACGGTCTGTCCGGACGTGTTGCCATCCACACACTGGCTGAATGATGCAGGTCACTGACTGACAGTGTGTAGGAACATGTGAACAGACATGGAGAGTTGTGCAAACCGTGAAAAGTCCCAGAACTGATACTCTTAGAACACCTCTCGTCTAATCAGATTCGAGGACCTGAACTTTTGTTTCTACAAATATCTATATTTACAATAATACGATGCATATACTAAGTTGAAGTGTGGACTCATTTTGGCTTCCACTATAAAGAAAGCACTAAAGAGATCAACAAGAGTCGTGCTGTTTGCAAAATAAGCCATGCTAAAACCTTTACTAAAAACTAGTTTTGAGCTTGTCCA